ACACAATTAACTTATTCTAAGTCGTATTAGTTTTATTCTAAGGTTTTATCTTATACATTTAAATGATTAATATTTACATCTTCTAATTATTGAGGGAATTCTAAGTTTTGATCTTACTCATTCAATTGATTGATTTGTTCTTCTTCTTATATAGTTGATTCTATGATTTGAACTTTCTCATTTAATTGATTGATGTTTTCTTCTTTTTCTTATTTAGTTGATTCTATGTTTTGATCTTTCTCATTCAATTGATTGATGTTTTCATCTTATTCTTATTTAATTGATTCTAAGTTTTGAAATTACTCATAAAATTGATTTATTTTTTATTCATATTCAGAGTTTATTTATACTAATTCTTATGTATTACATTCTCTGTTATTTTCATTCTCTTCATAATTATAAACTTCATCAATCTTTACTGAATTAATATCATTTTCTGATATCTATTCTTATTTTAAGCTCAAAACTTACTAATTTTAAGGATTTTAATTTTCTTCGCATTTTTTTTAAGATTCTTTGTCTTCTTTTATTGAGGAATAGTTTTTTAATATATTTTTCATATCTTCTTTTTCCTATTCAAATTATTGTACATCTACCATATCTTTTAGTAAATTTTAAACTTTTTCATCCAATTTTTTTGAGTTCTAATTAACCTCAAAATCATGTTAATCTTATAATATCTTTTTATTGTATTAATTATTTTCCGTAGTTAGCTAATCCTCATTTTTTAAAGAATAATTTTCTTTTTAATTTGTTAAGTCTTCCCCTATGTTTTAGCACATATCATTTTATTTATTAATCATTCTAAATTATACTTTATTATCCAATTCCATTTTTTATTATTAATCTTTAGAAAAATTATATTATTCTTTCTAATCTAAATCTCTCTTCTCTAATAATTAATTAGTATTGAGTTTTATTTCATCAAATTAATTAAAAAGATTTTCTTATTACTTGATTTCAAAATTCTAAATTTTTTCATCTTATTAATCATCATTTTTGTTATTCTAATCATTTTTCCTCTCAATTGCAATTTCATTTTTTTAATTATCATCGTCTTTATTAGATAACATATCAAATTTCTTTTAGTTTATAGGAATCTCATCATTTTTATTGTAAATCTCATTTTAAAGCTCTTCAATACTCTATTTTAACTATTCTATTTCATTAAGCAATTCTTAATTTAATTCTTCTAATTCATGAATGTATTTTTTTAATTCTTTCAAAGTTTAAGGATCTTATTAACTTCTTACCTCTTCAATGTGTTATAATCTATTTGATAACAATAATAGCTAATTATCCCTCATTTTGATTTCGTCATTTTGATTTGAATTTATTAAAGCCTGATCTTTTACCTAATTTTAGAGTTATAAAATTATCTCTTTTTAATTCTTTAATTATTAATTTTTGTCTTCAACATCAATTTTCAAATTTACATTTTATTATTCTAAATCTTATAGTTATTAACTTAAATCTAATAATGTGTTATTTTCTTAAATTTTTTGCATTTCAAAATTTAATATTTATTCATCAGACTTTTTATTATCTTTTTGACAAGGGATAATCTAATCTTCATTTGTAATTGAATCTTAAATTAATTGATTGTTGTCTGGTTCATTATTACAGTAATTAAAATTTTCTTTATCATCATCATTTTAAGGTTTTTTTTTTTAAATTTTAATTTAATCTACTACATTATCTATTAATGATCATTAAATTTTACCTAAAAAATCAATTTAGGCTTATAAGCCCTCTTCATGTTCATCTCTTTTTTCATATATCTATTGTAGTTGGTTAGCCAATGTTTCAAAATTTTATCCCAATTCTATAATTAATTAAATTATTATTACAAACTAAAGGAGTAGTAATTCTTTTTTAATTTTGTTTGTGATTTTTTAGGAGCATTCGATTTGCTTCTTTCAATTCTTGTAAGTTTTATTTAAAATCTTAATTATAAAATTATTTTTTACTTTATATTTACTATCCTAGTTAATTTTACAACTGTTGCTGTTCATTATCCTCAAAATATTAATGATTTGTTAGGTCTTAACTTGTTCCTAAACTGCGAAATTTGTTTTTTTCTTTAATTGATTCTTCTTAGTCAATGATTCTTTCAAGAAATTCTTCCATATTCGTTATCCCATTTTCAATTTAAATAAATTATTCTTCAGCTTGTTAATGCAAGTTTTTTTATTTATCACTTAAGATCTGATAAAGTTATTTCATTTTATTTTATATCAAATTTTCTTAGTTTTATGGTTTATCATCTTTGATAATATCCTATTTTTCCAATTTATTTGGATTCTCATTTGGAGCTGCTGCATCTTTAAGAGTTGGAACTATATCGTCATAATTATTTATAATAGCTATTAATCAATTTTTATAAAATACCAGTTTTAAGGTTTTCTATTAAGGAGTAAAACGACTTTTTCCTTTCTTCTTCATCTTTATACATTTATAACCCTTTCAAAATAATCAAAAAAAATACTGTTTTAAGTTTAAATAAGTTCTGTATTTAATTAATTGATCATCTCATCTAATTATTAGTTTTTCAAGATTAATTAATTAATCTCATCCAGATTGCCTAAAATAATTATTTATTTAATTACTATCTCTCAAGATCTCTAACTCTTCTTTAAGCTTGTTCAACTAAGATTAAGATGCTTCGATTTATTCACGAAAATTTATTTTTTCTTATTCAAGCACTTATTATTATAACAATAAAAACTACTTATTGATTTTTCATTTAGTTATTTTCTAAGGGTAAGATTATTTTCAGACATTGTATTTTAAAGAGATATGTAAGAATTTCTCACACTATTATCAGCTTTCTCTCTCCTTTCTTGTTTTATTTTTTATCTGATTGTGTTAATTTCATCTATTAAATCTATTCCACACGTAATTTTATCCTCCTCTGTTAAACAATCAGTGAATCGGATTAATTTTTTTTCTGCTTTACGCTTCAGTTATGCGGCACTGTTATACAGCTAAATTAATTCTTTTAAATCTTGCTATTGATCCATGAATTAAATAAATTATATAATAATAATAAAGATATCCTCTTGTAATATTTCCATATTAACATTTAATTTATTAAATTAACTGACTTTTTTATTCTAGATAAAATCTATGAGGAAATTAAAAAATTAAAGAATGATTCAACTTATCATTGAATAGGCAAATCTGTAAGAAAATAATTCTTATTTACAAGAATTATCAATGGTTAATGTTCACATATAATTAATACTAATTAGAGTAAATAAAAAATAATTTAATGAGTAGTTTCTATAATAAAGTTAACTCAATATAATTATAAATCTAAATAATGTAAAACTTCGACGACATTGGATAGAAATAATATTGATCATACAATATATAAAAGTAAAATAGAATTTTTTGTATTTTAAGTCAATTTTCTATTTTTGCTACCATATAATTACTTTTCAATAATAATTATTGATGTGTATTTAGTAACTTAGGATAAGGATCTTTGAAATACTTGAATAATTTTTTCAGGAATTGTCAAATCTTTTAAACTACTAAGATGGATGTATTAAAGATTCCTAGTTAAGCTAGGAAGTTTTCCTTAATGTTTATATTTCAATCAAAAAAAATGGGCTATTTTTAACATATTAGCATGAAAACTTCATTAGAAATCAGTAATTATAATATTTAGATTATAAATAAATTATAAAGAAAAATGAATCGAGAACTATAAATTTTAAATGTGTGTTAGAATTTATTGCTATTATACAGTCAGAGAACTTATTATATTATACAATTATAATTTATAATTTTTCATAAGAGATAATTTCTTATGAATTAACAATTGAAAAGATTCTAAAAATAATTTGCAAGCTTTTAGATGTCTCTAATCATTAGACCATATATTCTTTCATATATTTTGAGCTTATTCTTTCTCTCCCAATCGCCACCCTAATTTTGTTATGCCTATTATTAATTCAAATGATCTTTAAGTTTTTCAAGATTCCTTTATTTTAAATGATTTAGAATATAAGAAAATGAACATCCATTTTTTACCAATTCCAACAGATTTGGATAAGGTTTCAATGTAAGTTTTGATGGCCTAAAGTAATTATCATTCGATTATACATCTTCAAATTTTTTTTGCTTTTTACACAATGTTGCCTTCTCTATGATTGCATCCCTTACTTCAACATCCCTAAATTCTCTTGGCAATCTTTAATTTTCACATCTATGTTTGATAACTATTCTTAAAATTTTTTCTTATTCCATTTATTTAAAATAATTTAATACTAATCTTCACAATGTAATATGTTCCTACTTTTGTTCCAACAGAATAACCACTCTATCTAAAATTATAGATATCTTAGATCCCTGCAGCATGGGATGAATTAAAATTGAAGCATTTTCTATCAACTTAAGGATATACAGTATCTGATGTGCAGATGTTAAAAAAAGAAGATCGTATTAAATTAATCTGATTCAAGTAAAATCTAAAGGAATTGCAATTGTCAAATTCAATAAAATGCAAGAAGGAGAAAAAGCCACAAAATAATTGAAAGAAGTGGCTGTCGATGGAATGCAACCTCTGGTACTTAAATGGGCTGAGGGTGAAAAAGAAAGGTTAGGAGTAGCAGAAGAAACTTCTCCTAAAATATAAATTGATGGCCTATAGAAAGACTGCGAAGAAGCAATGATCAAAGAAATATTTATGAAATATGGTCAAGTCACCGATGTTTAGATTTAGAATTAAGGATAATCATCAATCAGTGCCATAGTATCATATACTTTTAAGGAAAGCTGCTTATTGGCAATAAAAAATAATCATAATAAGAATTAGTTAGGGTAATAGTCATAAAGTTATAAATTAAGCGATCGCCCATTAGATGTTAGATTTTTGGGTTAACCTGCGACTATTGCTAAATCATAATATCCTGAAACTCCTGCAAATGAAGAAGGAGATCCAATTAGAGATATTGTATATGATATTATAAATTGTAGACTAAATCATATACAAGATGGTTAGATCAGAAGAAGAAACCAATATATATTCATTGGGAAACTGGAGAAATAGTGAGGAGGTTCTTATTCATATTCATTTAAATAGTGTGAGCTTTGGTTCAATTATATATTCACCAGATGGCAGTAAAGAAATAATTACTAAAGAAAAATATTTGAACGATTTGGCAACTTTCAATTCTAAAAAAACAGGGCCTCCTGGAGCTAATTTATTTGTTTTTCATTTACCAAATGAACATAAGGATTCTGATCTTATGGACTTGTTTTCATCATATGGCAATGTGATTTCAGCTAGAGTTATGACTGATCCAAAAACTGGTAAAAGTAAAGGTTTTGGTTTTGTGAGTTTTGATAAATAAGAGAGCGCATAAAAAGCAAAAGAAGCTATGGATGGTCATTTAATAGGTAAAATCAAACAAATATTCAAGACAAGAAAAAGTTATCAGTTACATTTAAATAAGGTGATGGAACCCCATGTTAACCACTTTAATACTAGTGGTTACCAAGCATTTAATAAGTGTAATTTGATCCATTTGATTTGTGATTAATCTTAATATTTTTATATTTTGTATTTAAAAATTATAATTAGATTAATTTCCGAAATCTACTTTAATAAAATCTAGAATCAGATCTGAATTTTCGTATTAAATAGTTTTGGCTGAAATTGCAGTAGTTTTTTAATCAATAAGATAAAGAGAGTCAGATATCATATTTCATTTTTCTCATAAAGTAATAAGAATTAATAAATGTGAAAAAGTTAAGTAGAATATTTTATACAACAGTATAGGAAATTGGCTTAATTAAATTAAATTTAGAAAATATTGCCTTTTTTTATAAGATGTATAATATATTAATGAATTTTGAATCGATAAAAGAAGCTTAATTTTAGATGTGCTTTACGAAAATATTGAGGCAAATCAAATTTAAGTTGAAAGATAGTTTAACAAAAATCAATGAGGCTTAATCTTTCAAGAAATTTTTATATTTTCTTTTGGAAATAATTATCTTAACAATAGTTTTAATAATGATAATAATTAAAAATTCATTTATTAAATTATTATTAATTTGTATATTATAATTTTTATACAAAATTTTTTACTCAAATATAGTAAAACCAATAGAATGATATTGAAGAATATCTAATGGAATTTTATTTTGATTTCTATATATATAATTGTTTCAAATTAATTGATTAATTAAATTAAATGAAAGGAGTTTATTCGCCTAAACAAATAGGTCGTTTTGTGTCATCAAATACTGAAAATCTATAATAAATCATTTTAATAACTTAACAATAACTTAATAATGCTATTTAAGCTTCTTTTAAATAAAAGGTCCTTTTTAGGATTCTTGAAATTTGTTAAAAAATAGGAAATTTAGTTAATAAACCAATTAGTTTAAAGATACTAAACGATTTAAAAGCAGAAATCTAAATATTATTAGAAAAGGACAACAAAGGGTCTTCTGAGCGCATCCTTTTGTAAAGATTATAGATTGAATTATAAAACAAAATAATCATAATTCAAAAACGTCTATTAAAATGTGTAGTAAAACATATTAAAGAGTAAACAATTTTATATACTTAATAGTAGAGAGGGAGAAAATTAAGTTGGAATTTATCATTCCTAGATATTTCTTAAATATGATCTATTGAGATAAGAAAAAAATTAAAACCAAAAAGGGAATTTAAAATCAAAAACATTAGAGTGAATCAATAATTATAAAGCTGATGTTTTACGATATTCATTTTCAATATTCTATCTTAAAATATAAAAATATATTTGATATAGTAAATTGTTTAAAAAATGAACTTAAAAATAGAGCAATTCAAATACACATCTAAAATTTAATTGATATTAAATGTATTACTACGATAAGAATTGATCTAAACGGAATAACTATTGGCTTGAATATAGATAAAATTTCATTAAACTTATTTAATGATAGGTTTACATTAAAATTAAAGATTAGATGATATACTCTGTATGAAATGACTTCAGCTTCCTATTTATTTTGAGAATTATTCACAATTTTTTTTCCTAACAATTCTAACTTTGATGTAAATATTGAAAACTTCTAATAATCTCGTTTTTCATCTTCCAAAACTAAATTACTTGCATAAAAACTTATGTTTCGATTTTTATTTTAATATCTTTCTTTTGCCTCAATAGATATTTGCTAACTAAAAACTAATTATAATAGTTAAGTTTTTTGATTTAGATTAATACGGTTATCATCCTTGCTCAAGTAGACAAAAATTAAAAAGAGCCATCATTTCTAGCTTAAAATTTAAATCAATAGAGTTATATGGCCTTATTTATTTACTGATTTTTTCTGTAATTTAACGATATATGATTTTACTAATAAGAATATTGCAGGATAATTATCTTTTAAAAGCTAATTCTCTGAATCTTTAAATTGCATAAAATAAATTAGATAACATTTACTAAAGTATATCAATTAGTAACATTAAGATCTACATCTTCTTCATCTTAAAAATCTAATTCTACATAATTAACTCATTTGGCAAGCATTTAAGAGGCAAACCAACTCGCTCTTTAAAAGGTTGATTATTTATAACATAATTCATTAATTTTTATTTTTAATGAATACCCGATTACCATCCAATAACATGTACAATATTCAAAGACCCTTTAAACGAAACATTAATCAAAACCTTTAAGATGCAAAAGACTACTACTATGGTCTTCTCTCTGGTGATAATGAATTTCAAAAAGAGTGCAAAAAAGTTGAATGTATGATTAAATTTTTAAATTATATAGATCATAATCCAAAAGATCTGAGTTGGACTTAGTTTTGAATATGAATTATATAAATAGAATTATAGATATTATAATTTGCATTCTAGAAATTAAAAAATTTCTGATGTTTTTATTAGTTTCAATACGTCGAAGCGAATGTATTATTATTAATTTGCTAAAATGTTGAACATATTTTTCATATTAGTAGAGAAATTAGAAAAAAATAATGATTTTTCAGAAACCTAATAATTGCATGAAAAAATTATAATATAGCCCAAATATTAAATGTTAAAAGACACTAAATGAAATAAGGTCTGAGCCTACATTCCAACTTCTTGGACTTACGATGATATTCAAAATTATTAGATAATTTCTGAAAGTTTTCCAAATTGCAGTTATTTATGATTGATATAAGTAGTCTTTATGCTCCAAAAAATTTGATCAAAAAACATGAAATAAATGATTTTAAGGCAGGATTGATAATATTTAATAAATCCATTCAATAATATACTAAGAATTTTAATGAATCGTAGAACCGCAAGTATTATATCAATCTCACATCAAATAATTTATAATTTAAATAAAACATATCCTAATTATATGTGGAATTGTAGAGTGATTCTTCCATATATAATCCCTTAAGAATATTACTTCATTCAATTAGACAAACCCGCCTAAGAATATTGATTAATTGGCTCATTTACATACGACAAACAATAAAACTAATCAGAATTCATTTTCAGATCTCTTGCAAAATTTGTCTGAAAAACTAAAATATAATCCAATCAACAAATTATAATCAATTCATGCCTGATACTTAAAATTCCTCAAAAATCCTTTTAAATATCTAAAATACAAATTAGATTTCGAAAAAAGATTCAATATAAAGTATTTTTTTGATAATTTAAATTAATAATTGATTATTATTTTATAAATAAATTTACTAATGGAGGAATATATAACATTATTTTCACTCTCTGGAATTTTGGGAATAGGTGCAACGTTATCGTAGGTTCTACGCTCTCTTAATAAACTCAAAGAAAAATATAAATCCTATCAATTAGTTAAACAATTCACTCCAACATAGCTGATCCAATATTTCAATTAAGAGAAAAAAACTAATATATAGGTATTTGTTTCTGGTGAATTGATTTCTTAAAAACCATTAGCTTCTAAATTCCCATTGATTTGGAGCCAAAAAATAATCTATGATCTATACAACAATAATATGTAATTAAATATTAATTGTAATAGAAAAAAGTTAAAGAAAATTACTTCCTAAGGCGTCACTCAAATAAGCATTGCTGATTCTAAATTTTAAGTGGATATATTGAGAAGCACAAATTTCAATTGCTAAGCGTCATTAACACATATATAGGACATCTTTTATCCAAAGAGATTATCCATTTTTTAAAGAATCACTAATTTTATTCTTAGAACAGTTAATTAGGCGAGATCAGAAAAAATACCTTTTAGAGGATTTTCAATTGGACTATTAGAAAGAGAGTATGGCATATTAGCTGGAGACTCTTATGTTATTTATGGAGAAATATTTTTTGATAAATATTTAAATAAACTATTTTTGTAGAATCCAAAACACATTTTAAGAGACAAAAGATAATTACTTAGATTTATTGAAACATAAATCAGATATAAGAATTTTTAGATTATTATCTTATTGATGGCAATATTTTTTTTAATTTATTATTTTTCAAAGAATTTCAAGAAAGTTATTTTTAAATTGATTAGACATAGATAAATATATAAATTAAAGAAACTAAGAGGACTTAAACATATTTTAATTAATAATTTTGAATGTTAAAATTGTTATCAATAACCTAAAAATATTATACATTTACCATGCAAACATATGGTATTTTGTTAAAGTTGTAAATAAGAATTAAATATATCAAAATGTCCGATCTGTAAATAGAAAATAGAAGAACTTGTTGAAATTTATATAACCTGAGTTTGAATTCTATTACTATTATTAAATTCATTAAAAAAAACCATTTGATTGTAAATTATTCTTTTCTTTTACATAATATTATCAAAAAATTATCTGATTTATAATTATAAAAAACAGTAAACTCTTGAAGAAGTACAACAATTTTAAAGTAGAATGGCTATCTAAATCTTTGGTTATCTAAGAAGTGACTTTAGGAATATATATAATCTCAGCGTAAATTAAAATGAATTAAGAAATATTGTTGTTTAAACTATTTTGAGGAGACATTATATGAAATAAAATAAACTATTTATAAAAGGTTAAGTAGAATTATTTGTAATTTAAAAATGAATATACTAAATTCATAAAACATATTTATTTCTATTAAAATTAAAAAATGAAAGAATATTTGATAATATCAAATTTTTAAATGGATTTAGATACCAAAGTTAAGTAAATGAATCAAACAGCTAATGAAGATCTGAAAAAATATCAATTTGTAGTAACTGGAATGTCTGTGGAAATTAATAATGAATTAATTAAAATAAATAAAGGAAAGGCTAGTTCAAAATTTTATTAAAAACAAGTTTAAAAGGATAAATGAATAGATTAATATTTATAAACTTCTAAGATTTAATATTTATTGTTCTATTTCAATTCATTTTATTTTTATTTTTCACATATTTTAATTTTTTTTTAACAATTCATTCTCTTTCTTTAGGTTGTCAATAGATAATTGAGCAGAAATAAACATTTTTGTGGACCAGGAAGGTTGAGTTTTTTTTTGGTATTGAATTTCAAATCTTAAAACTAATATTTCTATTTAAAACATTTATATGATACTTTTCCAACAGGCTTAAATTTAGAAACTTATTCTTAAAACAAAAATTTTAATTAAGAATTCTTCATTTTTTCAAAATAATTTCTAATTTTGCATTTTTATTATTCTTCATTATTTTTTTACGTTTTCTTAAAATAATTGAAAAATGACATTTTTTAAATATTGCTATCAGAATTTGATGCTTTTTGCTTCTCTTGATTGGTTTAGGTATGTTAAGTAAATCTATCTTGTTAAGTATTTTAATCTGAAGAAAACTTCCAAAATCAATATTGACTATTATAATTTAAATTTGTTTATTACAAAAGATAATTTTTTATTTTTTTATTTCAGCTTCTCTTTTCTCAGATTCTTATTTTCTGTTTAGGAATTCGTTCACTTATCACACCTTTCAGAATATTTTCAATTAAACTATAAGAAAGAACATATGGCATATTAACATGTGACTCTTAAGTCATTTATGGAGAAATATTTCTTCTTGAAAAATATTCAAATAATCTATTGTTTTACAATCCAAAACAAATTTAAAAAGGCAAAAGGTAGATACTTAGGTTTTTGAACATTAATAAGAATTTTTAAATTATTATTTTATCAATGGCAAAATTGATTTACAAAGAGTTTCAAGAGATTATTTTTAAATTAACTAAATATAGATAATACTAAACTTTTGGTTTTCTAAGAAATTGAATCCATTAATGAAGTGAATATTGGAATAATCAAATTTAAAAGAAAAGAAGAATATTTAAATCATATTTTTTTGGTTTAAATCTAATTTTAAGAGTCGCTGTATGAGAAAAATAATTAGAACCATATAAGAATTTAAGTAGAATTATTTTGTATTTTAGAACTAATATATAAAAAATTCATAAATCATTTTTATTTTTTTTAAAGGTTAAACATGCAAGGAATTTAGACAATATCATATGATGATATACCTGATGCGGATTTAAGTATAATTTCTTACGATTTAGTATAATTGTAAGTGAATGGCATTGAGTCTGTAAAATAACCTGTATTGAATATATATTTAAATAGGTAATAACAAAAGATTGTATTCATGTTAATTAACAATAACTATTAAGTTGCTAAGATGCAGTAAATTAAATAGAATCTAAAAATCGATTCGTTTAGTGCTTATGTGGAAAAAAAGCAGAATCAATAAAGCATCTACGGAAAGATGTTAGAGGTATTGCACAAAAACTATTTCACAATATAACTTAATTTGTATAAGTTATCGAAGGAATACTGACTCACAAATATTCTAGGAAAAAAATTTATACAGACACAATCTCTTAAGCTCCTTAAGATGCATCACTCTAAAATTTTGTAAGAACACTTTATAAAAGATATCATGAATCTAATTCAATTTCAAATTTGATTTTGAAATAAGGTTTCTAAGGTTCTTGTTATGATTTTTGGGCTTATTGTCTTTTAGACAAAATTAAAATAATAATTCCTACAAGAATAATAGGTTGCTCGCATCCAGCATGTTACGAGTTAACAAGTCTTTTATGTTATTAGAAACAATGTGATTTGAATAAAGATGATTCTAGAATAATAAGAGATATAAATGATAAAAGTATTATTTTTCATTGTAGTTACCCTGGTTGTGAAAATAAAATAGATATTTAGACTTTGCCTCTTATGTTGTCAAAACTATTTATAGATTAAGAATTGTTAAATCTTTTAAACTCTGCTCCATCAATTTAATTTAAATTTACTTATGATCTTAAAAATAAAAGGTTTAAAAAAGATTTCTAAGATAGGGATCCTTATATTCTAAATATTCATTAAAATCTTGACAATGCCACTTACAATTCAATAATGGTGTAAATATAGTCGATTATATAATTAAATATCAGTTAAGAAATTTAAGAAAAATTAAATTAACAGAAATATCAGATAAGAAAAATTAATTTGATTGATCCCCTTAATGGAAAATAAGTTGAATTTCCTGTTAGATGTATAAAATGCACAGACTATAATCGATGTGCAGACATTAGAACGTATGTAGCCTATTATTTCAAAAATAAAAAAAAATAAGGGATTTCTGAATAAATTAATTGTCCAATTTGCAATAATATTTTAGAAACAAAAACAGGGTTACTGAATAATTTGATTTACTTTGATTAAAATATTATTTCTAGAATGTTTAAAGATTCTACTGTTAATGATCCTAAATAATTTGATTATAATGGAAAACTATATATGTTGGAGGAATTTTTATCTAAATAAAAGTTTAGTAAAAATACATATACCTCAATTTTGAAATAGAGAAAGAATAACGATGGAACTTATGTAAAAGAAGTTGAATTTAATTCATTGAAATGTATTTTAAACCCAAATAGAAAACTATAATACCCATTAATAATAAAGAACTGTTAAAAAAATTCCTATATAGATTTTGAATCATTCTATGAGAAAATGGTTGAGTGTAAATTTAAAATTCCTGAAGAAGGACTTTAGTTATGTCTCTGCTAAGAATATTGTAGTAAAAATCCTATAAAAAAATATACTACAAGCCTTTTTTATCATGAAGCTCTTGGAGATGCTTTACAGTCATTAAAGAATGACGGTTTGTCTCCTTAAAAATTTAAATATAATTTTGAGGAAGAAAAATTTTGTCTTGTTTTAGGAAATAAAAATACTACTGATACTGGAATTGATAAGAAAATTATCCAAGAGGGCAGATTTAATGCAGGATTTATAGATTTATTAACAGATGAAGAATATATGTAAGCTTTTCGAATAAAAACTGTAATGGGAAAAGAGTATTAAATTAAAGCAATGACCTAAGATATAATCAAAGGATTATAATCCACTCATGATGCTTCTGGCATTAAAATAGATGTAGATACCAAAGTTAATTAAATGAATCAAACAGCTAATGAAGATCTGAAAAAATATCAATTTGAAGTAACTGGAATGTCGGTGGAAATGAATAATGATTTAATTAAAATAAATAAAGGAGAGGCTAGTTCAAAATTTTATTAAAAACAAGTTTAAAAGGATAGATGAATAGATTAATATTTATAAACTTCTAAGATTTAATATTTATTGTTCTATTTCAATTCATTTTATTTTTATTTTTCACATATTTTAATTTTCTTTTTAACAATTCATTCTCTTTCTTTAGGTTTTCAATAGATAATTGAGCAGAAATTAACATTTTTGTGGACCAGAAAGGTTGAGATTGATTTTGGTATTGAATATTCAAATCTTAAAACTAATATTTCTATTAAAAAATATTTATATGATACTTTTCCAACAGGCTTAAATTTAGAAACTTATTCTTAAAACAAAAATTTTAATTAAGAATTCTTCATTTGTTCAAAATAATTTCTATTTTTTACATTTTTCTATTATTCTTCATTATTTTTTTACATTTTCTTAAAATAATTGAAAAATGACATTTCTTAAATATTGTTATCAGGATTTGATGCTTTTCGCAACTCTTAATTAGTTTAGGTATGTTAAGTAGATCTATCTTGCTAACTATTTTAATCTGAAGAAAACTTCCAAAATCAATATTGACTATTATAATTTAATTCTTTTATATAGAAAATTGCTTTAAAAGAATTTAAAATTATAGTAAATAAGTATTATTAAAACAAAGTTATTTAGTAAAATTAAAATATAATTATTAATATTATTTTGTATTGATTGTTTTATTATTATTAATCATCTTCATAATTTAATTTTTATATATATTTAAGTTACATCAAAGCTTAATCTTATAGGTCATGTTCTATTTTCTAAATCTTTGTTTATTAATTTTAAATACTTCCATTAAGATTTATTTTCTATCTATTGATTCTTATGATTAATCAGCACTTTTTTTTCAATTTCCCTAAGCAAGTTCAAATAATTATAATGCATTTTAAAATAGACTCTTTTCAAAGGGTTAATCTTCTTCATCATTAATCCACTTATCAATTATAATATCATTTTTGCTGATATTTTATACAATCACTTATAATACTATTCGACTCAAAGTAGATTTAGATATCGTTGAGTAAAAGAATATAAAAGTTAATGATTTTCTGAAAAAAATTCAATATGATGTAGATGAAAAGAAGTGGAATATGAATAGAGATGTCATTTGAATAAATAAAGGAGAGCCTAATTCAGAATTTTACAAAAAAAATTAAACTGATAAATGAAAAGATTAATTTTTATTTGTAAATTTAAAGATTCAATATTTATTGTCCTATTTCTATTCATTTTAGTTTAAATTTTAAGCTTCTATTTTATTTTTCACATATTCTAATTTGCTTTTTAACAATTCATTCTCTTTCTTTAGGTTTTCAATAGATAATTGAGCAGAAATAGCCATTTTTGTGGCCAGAAAGGTTGATATCGATTTTGGTATTGAATATGCAAATCCTAAAACAAATATTCCTATTAAAAAATATTTATATGATGCTTTTCCAACATCCTTTAATTTAGAAACTTATTCTTAAAACAAAAATTTTAATTAAGAATTCTTCATTTGTTCAAAATAATTTCTATTTTTTACATTTTTCTATTATTCTTCATTATTTTTTTACATTTTCTTAAAATAATTGAAAAATGACATTTCTTAAATATTGTTATCAGGATTTGATGCTTTTCGCAACTCTTAATTAGTTTAGGTATGTTAAGTAGATCTATCTTGCTAACTATTTTAATCTGAAGAAAACTTCCAAAAACCATATTGACTATTATAATTTAAACTTGTTTATTAATTGCTTTTTATGAATAGATGTCGTTTAGAAGTAAAGTAATTGATCTTAATGCTTGATTAGAATGAATTTTTTTCCGCAACTATGATATATTGTTTAGGAATCAATATTTTAGTTAACATTAATTTTATTTATGGAATTTTTTATAAAAACTATTAGAACTAATATAAAATTTATAATTACATACTTATAATTTTTAGTATAATGCATAATAGTATTAAAAAAATTATCATTATATATTTAGGATTATCAGCAATACGAATAATTTTGTTTAGTATGTTAGATAAAAATATTTGAATTCTTGAATTTATTAAAAAGTATAATATATGTATAATTTGAAAAGCATGCAAATATAGGATTTTTCATATTTAAATTCCCACAAAATATTTGAATTTATTTCATTTCTAAATTAATCAAATTAGAATAAATCTAATCATTTAAATCACTATATATTATTTAAATAAAAAATAAAACAATCTTATGACTATCCTTAGAAAATTAAATGCAAAAATCATAAGATTATCATATTGTATTCTTCTTATTATAAAAATTTATCTTAACATAGTTTTTTTTATAAATAGGAATGCAACCCAAACATTTATTTAGCTATTGATTAATTATTCATTCTCTAAGAGTACTTATATAACTGTATTTATAAATGCGTAGTTAGAACTAATTTTTATCAACACTTATAAATAATAATCAGAATAGTTTATTGAGTATTAAATAAAGATCAAATAATTTATAGATATAGGATAATTAACAAATCATAAGTAAAGTAATAATATGAGATGAAGAGAGCAAGATAGAAATAATTAGGAAATAAAAAGTAGAGGTTAGAAATGCTGATTTATAAACGATGTGTAAGTACTATAGGATTATATCTAGAAATCAAATAGAATTTTGAGTTTCTTTGTAAAATTAAAAATTACAAACCCCATTTAAGTAGATAGAGTTGCATGACAATAGAAAATCAATTAGATATTTCAAATAGAATATTTGGTATTTTTTTCGAATTGTTGGATTCTGCACCTTATTTGATTCATAATTATATATATAATTTAATGCTGTTCTAAATTATTCTCTTGGGATTTGAGGTAGTACTAGGATAATATTTATATACCCCTACATTCTTCAATTTCAACGAACACATTTCAACATTTATTACTTCAAAAAATGAATCAGATCCGTAAAGTACACATAATTGTCTAATTGTACCATGTACTGCTTTTGGAAGACAATAAAATTGTATGGTGATAACTAAACTTACTTTTGGAGGTGATTGTTTTACAAGGCCAATCAAATCAAATTTAAATTTCACTAGTGAAGAAGACGTAGCAACTTTAGAATTTGCTTATTTTGCTTCTCGTCATCCTTCATCTAAAAGACTTAATACAGGAATTGTCATAGGTTGGACAAATGACGATGATGAATTTTATTGGATAGCTGCAGAAGACATAAGTGTAATAACATCAGGAGTAAATTAAACAAACAAATATGCCTAATTTGTTACTATAAATAGTCTGGCTGAGAACACATGGACAAAAGTATATTTTATATTCATAATTAAGGTTAGAGTTCATATTAGACCTAATTCTACAAAACCATTTAGAATAATCTTTGAAGCCTATTCTGACGCTACTGATTTTGCAGGTAAGTTTTTAGTGACCAATGTTTCAATATTTGATAGAGGAATTTGTTCTGAGGGTTGCAGTAGTTGTTTATCATATTCTGAATGTACATCATGTGAAAAGGGAAGACTTTATCGAGGAACATGTGTATCTGATTTTTGTTATTATGATGCTGGAAGTATTACAGCAAATAAAATTTCAGTTGGTTGGATATCGGAATAAAATGGATTATATGGTATAGTATTAAAGAACATTAAAATAAATTAATGTCATATGGTTAAATTTATTATGAATAAAGTCAACAATAATTATATTGATGGTTCTAATTCAGGATTAGATATTTATTAATATGGATTCAAAATTTAATAAAGTAGTTTGAATAGTGCTGGTTGTCAATATTCATTGAATCTGCCCATTTCTGGAAAACCAGGATATTCATGTCTTTTTGAATTCCTTTTGTTATTGAAAAACACTACAGTAGATTTACTCAATATAACATGGACTTAAGAATTTTATTATCCAACTAATAACAGTGAAATTTTGGTTACAGGGGATATATCAGCAAATTAAGTTGACTTTTAAGTTCTGTCTTCTTCGATCTATCTTGGTGAAGCATCTACAAAGGTTGAAGGAAAAGTGTTGTTATGTTAAAGTTCATCTTGTAGATCATTTTATGAAGAACCATAAGTATTGTATTTAAATGATCCCTTTTTCATTTTGGTGATGCTTGACAATAAATACTTAGATTTTGGAGCTGATTTCAAATTTTAGTTAGTAAGTGCTGTTGCTCTAGGTAATGGAACAAATATAAAGTTAAAACCTTAAGATGAAAGTGAAAAAAATATGACTGCTACTATTTATACATTTACTGTGCCTTTTGCAGTTTAGAATTGTACAATTTCTATCACTGCTTAATTAGTAGAAAGAGAAATAGATGATAATTATGTAACTGATAATAGAAGAAGACTATTATTAAGAAGACTCCTCTAAACTACTAACGAAACAACTACAACTGCTAATTCAGGATTTACAGTTTCAGGGAGTATAAAGGTTGAAAGTATTGAGATATTGCCTTATTGGAAGGTATATCCAAAAGATGCTCCTTACATTATCATAGGAGTTTCTGCTGGTTTAGTATTATCTGCAATTATTCTCTATTGTGCTTGTTTGACCTTCAGTTAGAAAACACATATGCCTCTTAAGGAATCGAATTATACTATCAATAAATTGAATTTGATTAGTGATCAAAAAGAGTAGGAAAGGATTAAAGCGATGTTTGGTAATAATAATTTGCCAACAAATTGATTTAATAATCAATAATTGCATATATTTTATAAAATTTTGAGTTTATATAATTAATTAATGCTATATTGAATAGAAATGAATAAGATTTAAAAAGTAATACATTATAAAAAACTTAATAATCAATATTTAGAAAGATAATAGTTCCTTTATCTCTGAAAATTTATTTAAGGACTTAATAAAGCTTTTAAATGTTCATAGTTTAAATTGTATGGATCTTCTAAGTGATGATTCTAAATTTGAAGTTTTTGTTCTCTCGATGTGGTAATTCTAGAATTTTTATAAAGGGATGTAGGAGAATAAGATTTTTATATTTAAGCATTCAATCTTGGTGAATCAATTTAATTGGTGATTATATTATTTTGATTTTTAGGTTTATTATTAAAATACGATGCAAATTTTTTGATATTTTTTTCACTATTTATAAAGCTTGCTTGCTTTTTTTTATAAAGTTAAATTAATCTAGTTAGCAATAATTATACAGTTTTTGATTTCAAACTATGAGTTACAATGATGGTTAATTCTTCAACAACGTCATCCAATAATTTTTTATTGATATCCACTTCTTTTGCTTTCATACTGATTTCTGCAATTCTAATAATGTACTTGTATTTATCTGAGGTTGGCTAAGTGGTTTTTATTAATCTTAATGCATAATCAGCTATGAATTATATTTCTTTGTTGATTTGTTGGATATTGAAATTCTAAGGATATTAGTGTTGTTTATTAGATTTATGAGAATCAGTTGAAGGATTATATTAATGAAGTCTTTATTAGGTAGAAAATGAAATTGTATCTAATTGATTAGCCATTTTTAATATTAAAAATATTCATTATCTTTGTTTGATGAATTTCTTCAACAATGGAACTGCTACTTTAGGTTCATTCATTTAAAGATGTCCTGGGATCCTTGATGCCAATTACAATAAAGTTGGTGGAGCATAATCTAAAGATAACATATGAAATTAAACCTTCATTGTAAGTCATACAGAAGCATACAGTCTTAGTGCTTGGTCCAGCAACTGGTACATGGCCTTAGGCAAATTCACCCAAATAATGTGATAACTCACATAAGATATCAGCAGCATTGTCTTTATTAACTTCAATGGTTGGTGGACATCTTAAGAAAAATATTAATAATTAAATACTTTGGTTAAGGAACTGGAGCAGGTGGTTATGGTTCCTCTTCTTCTTCTGAGGGTGTTGGTTATTCTTCTTCAGGTTCTTCCTCAGGCTCAACAGGAGGCTCAACAGGTGGTTCAACATCCTCTTCTGGTACTGATGGTTCATCTTCAGGTAATTCTGCTTCTTCTTCATGAGCAGGATCAGGTACAGGTTCATCAGGAATTTCTGGTTCTTCCTCATGATCTGGAGTTTCTTCTTCAGATTCAACAGGTGGTTCAACAGGTGGTTCAACTGGAGTTTCCTCTGGAGTATCTTCTTCACTCAATGGAGGTGGGAGTGGCTTTTCTTCAGGTTCATAAGGAATATCCTCTTCTGGTTCAGATGGAATGGGTGGGATGGGTGGTTCTACCCATTCTTCTTCACTTGAAGGTTCTGATGGTGTAACAGGGACAGGAGGAGGTGGGACTGGATCAGTTGGTTTAGGAGTATATCCCCAATGTTCATCGTATTTCAATTCTCTATATGAACCATCACAAAGGTTGTAATGGAGATTGAAAATCTTACCACTGTATGATTTATAGAATTGATCTTATCCGACATATAAGTATTTATGTGGAGCATCAAAATGTTTGACATTTTCAAAGTGAACTTCTCCCTTTCTAGTGAAGAACTCAACATAACCATAAGCTTTAGAGATATGTCTGTTGTAGCCGAAGTAAATATAATGCCAGTGTACCAAATCCTTTTCATATGGGATAGCTTACCAATAGGTTGGATTACCATTTCCATACAAATCTGAGTAAGTATATGTTGTGAAAGCCAAGACTGAATCCTTCTTTTCACTTCCAACAAATAATGCCAAATCTCTATCTCCCAATTGTTTTGCATTTTAATTTACTGCAAGATTGTTCAATGTCAATCTGAATGCTGAATACCAGGATTCTGGATTTTAAACTGGATACCATTTGAACCAACCAGAAACTGAATATTCTTGTGCATAAATTGGTTCAGTATTCTCAACTACTGATGAAGCATCAAATTATGAATCAGCACCATTGAATTCAAAATCATGAAGATTAGATATTTATCTTTCGCATTTTTCTTCAGGTAAGTGATTGCAAGCAAATACAAAATCATTAGCTTCTGCTTCTGTTCCAATGAATACATTTTAACCAGCATTAGCTTAAACCAATCTGAATTGACCTTAGAATGATGGAACATCTCCTTGTTGACCAGCCAATTAGAAATATAATTGAGATGGTTTTTCATGACTAACATTAATTTCATTAATTGTTGTTTATCCATCTTCATTTACAACAGCAACTGCTTTTTCATTACAATATGAATAATAAACATAAATCCATTTACCTTCAATATCACCAACTTAAATTACTGTTGTAGATAATCCTTAACTGTCATATGATTAGAATTCCAAACCTTCTTTAGTCAAATATACACTCAAAGCATTATCATTAACTTCACCAGTTGTATGTTCAGATTCAGAAACTCTTGCTACGAAATATCTTTCAGATTATCTTCCATGAACCAAGAATGTTGGATAAGCTTAAAGCCATCTAGTGTAGAATCCAAATCCATAACAACTCAAATCATCCCCTTCCAATTATTTATTCACTAATGGTGTAGCTTCATCAACAGAAGATGTATAAACAATCTCATTCACTGAATTCAAACAAGCCTTTTCAACAGCACTAGGTGGTTCAATTGGAGGTACAACAATAGGTGGTTCTTCAAATTCTTCAAATTCTTCTTCAATTTCTTCAACCCATTCTTCTGTTGTTTCTTCAGGTGATTCTTCATGATTTGGATTAACAGGTGGTTCATCAGTAATCTATGTTTCTTCTTCAGGACTTTCTTCAGGACTTGGTTCAATAGGTGGCTCAACAGGTGGTTCATTTTCTTCCTCAGGTGTTTCTGGAGTTGTTTCTTCTTCTTCTCCTGGTGGTGGAGTGGGTGGAGTTTCTTATTCTTCAGGTGGGATTTCCTTTTCTTCAGGACCTTTCTCATCTGGGATTTCAGGTTCATCTTCTTCTCCAGGTGGTGTTGGTGGTGTTGGTTCTTCTTCATGAGGAACTTCTTTTTCTTCAGGACCTTTTTCATCTGGGATTTCTGGTGTTGTTTCTTCTTCTTCTCCTGGTGGTGGGGTAGGTGGTGTTTCTTATTCTTCAGGAGGAATTTCTTTTTCTTCAGGACCTTTCTCATCTGGGATTTCAGGTTTATCTTCTTCTCCAGGTGGTGTTGGTGGTGTTGGTTCTTCTTCATGAGGAACTTCTTTTTCCTCAGGACCTTTTTCATCTGGGATTTCTGGTGTAGGTTCATCAGGTATTCCTGGTTCATCTTCACATGGTGCAGGTTATCCGCAACCTTATTAAACAACTTATAAGTCCTTAATCTTTCCTTTGATTTTGATGACTGTCACAGGATTAGATTGGCATTGTTATCTGCAACTGTTAAATTATTTGAGAAGATAGATGCATAATTTGAGTAAAGTAGCTTCACATTCATCAGCTGTTTCTGGGTTGCTTAATCCTTTAAGCTTTTGTCTGAACTCTGCCAAAATAGGCTCTCCGATTTTGCTTTCTGTCTTTGGCAATTCCAATTTATTCAACTACTTCTCTAATGATTTGAACTTTCTCTTTTGTATGAGTTCTTTGATGGTTTCTAATCTATCAATATCTCTATGTAAGGAATCCTTATGTTGAACAATATCAGCCCAAGCTGACATTTAAGCAGAGACTTTCTGAAATTCGTTCTGAGGTGTTGAACAACTCATCGATGTAGTATCCAGAAGGGCCACATCAGATAAATCCATAGATAATAAGGATGTACCCAAATCCAATTCAGCAGATAGGGCTAGAATGTAATACAATATTACCACTTCCCAACACTAGTATACATATGACTAATGCCGAACTTCTCATTTTTAATAAAATATTATAAAAACGGATTTCATTGTATTTAATTCACATATCACTCCTAATTCTTAAATATTTCTATATAATCTTAACTAATTTATAAAAATCTATGAAAGAAAGACCAAAATCAATAAAAATATAAATGAATCAAAATTAATCATCATTTTACTAAAACAGATTTAATTCTGCATTATTTCTTATCACATTATCTTCTAAACTTCTTTATTTCTAATCCAAATCTTATAATATCTCCTATTTTTTATGTTCAACCATTTAAATTTCTTGGTTAATCATATTTATCTTGCATTTGTTTTCTAACCTATTTGCATACAATTCTTGATGTTCCAATATTCTTTAAGTAAATAGTTTTTCGAACGCATCCTAAATTTCCTTTTAGATTGACTATAATTATGTTTTAAATCCTTTTTTGTCCTATAATATATAACATTAATAGTTCTACTTCTGATAATAATAAATTGGATTCTTTTTCTCTTATTTAATCAAATAAATTTGAATTATAAAAAATTGTCTTAAAATCTGACAAAGGTTTCCTCTAAAAATCTTTTAATTATTGTTAATAATTCTTTAATTGTTGAATGTGTTAATTAAATTGATGAGCAATTATGCCTTTCTCATGAATAATTTCTTAAATTTTTTTCATTTCTTTTATATTTCCTAAATGATTTAATAGAATTACTTCTATTTTGTTTGTTCTTTATTCTTCAATTAGTTTTTATTTGAATTCTTACACTTTTATAGTTCTTTCTAATTCTTATACCTTTAATTAATCGATTTAAGCTTCCATTTAAAGTATTACTTTACTAATATCTGTCTTGAAATAATGAATCATACTCTTACAATTGCAATGATATCACTTGTATTTGAAACTTAAATAATATCATTCTCTTCATCTTAATAAGATAATTCAATATTTTTCAATAATGGATATTTTAATTAGATTTCTTATTACAAATCCTCATATGATTGTACTCCTTCAAAAGTAATCTATTCATTTTAGTATCTGATTTATATATCCATCTTTTATAATGTTAATGTGAAAAAATAAAAATGAATATATTTAATTTAAATACTAATGTGGGATGATATAACATAAAGTCACTAATAGAATTTAATAAGTAATAATTCTCAATTTTTCAATCCAAACAATTAAAATTGCCTGAATTTAGTAAGATCGATTCATTTGTACAAATTTGTTATGGATTTGTTACAATTTTTGTATAAACATTAATTTGACAATCTGAGAATGTAATCCATCGTGCTGCTTATATTTTGAATACATCGAGATCAATTTCATTCAAATTCTATTAAAGTAATATTTTTTCACATAATTATTTAAGTTCTTTGCTTAATTCAATGATTTCTTAAGTCATAACTGTAAAAGCTTAAATTTAATAAATATCCAATTACGTTTATATTTATAATCATCTTTTTAAATATAGTATAGATATCTTTCTATTATACTTTTGTATCCTAAACATTTAAAGTAGAAGGATAAATAATATAAATAAAGTCCCAATTTATCATTACCTAAATCCACATATTCAACTAACAATTTTAACATAGAACTGCATAGATTTTATCTGATAATAAGTACTTTTTCATTTTTCATTTCCTACATTTTTTCAAAATAGAATAAATTTGCCATTACAATATAATATGTACTATATCGAAGGAAAAATTAAGAGGTAAATTCTGGGTAGTTAGGGGGTCTTTATAAAGATAAATTAGGTAGCAATTAATTAGAATATGTTTAAGTATTTTTTATTACTGTAAATGCTATTTTCATTTTATCCAGAATAATATCTACATCTTTAGGATTTGGTAATTTATCTTCAATAATTGCTTATCGTATATTTTTGATTTACATAAAGCTATCATGCAATTATCCATTACAATATGTGTATATCAACATTACATAATCTATTTCAAATGCTTCTTAACTATCTAAAATATGGGTGTTATTTTATATTACTTTCTGGAGATTTCAAATATTAATTACTAACTATAGGATTATAAATGAATTAAGGATGAAAATGTGATTATTTGTTTAGTATGGGTTTCTAATAATATTTTTTATTAATACTAAGGTTTAATGGAAGAATTAAAGATAATGTGGAATTATTTAAAAGTTTCCTTATATAATTTAATTTCTCATTTTTTCACCATTTTGAAGTGCTTAGATTTCCTCTGGATACAACTATAAATTTATTTCAAGGAAGCTTCTTTTTTAAATTGTAGATGTTTGAAAAAAGCAATACATGAATTTATTAATTTATTTTATTTATAGAATTTAAGTATATATACATTTATCATTAAGGTGAATCAAATTTTAAGGGTTCTTTGACAGAACTTTATTTATTATCTTCAAAAATTAATTGTCTTAGTTTTTAAATGCTTTTATATTTCATTCTATTTAATGATTTTAATGGACTTATTTATTAATTGATAGTGGGTATAGGTATGATTAATTTTTATTATTGATTAGATTTTATATTATAATTATTATTTAATTTAAAGATATATCTACTGGATGTAGAAGAGGAACTTATAGGAGTTAGTTTATTGATTTCTTCTGATAGAGCTATATCATTTGAGAAATTAGGGGATTGAGTTATTATTTAAAGATTATTGCGATTATTTTAAAATTTGGGTTTGATGAGTTTGAATTCTTTTTATTCTAATTGATTATTGAAATAATCTGATTCTTCTGGATTTAAATGGTATGATTATGAAATTGGGATTTGTATTGATGAATTGTAATTACATTTATTTTCTTTGAATGATTCAATTTCATGAATGATAGCTTTGAGATCAAGTTTTCTATATTATTCATCTATATGTATTTAGATTCTTTTATTTTTAGATTAATAAAACTTAAGTTCAAATTGTTTGAGTTTTTCTTCAATTTATTTTTTGGAACAATTTTTAGATTGATAGTAGGACTCAAATTAGATGAGTAGAATATTTTCCAATTCTTTGTTCATACTATCAATTTACTCGAAATTTGAGTAGCAGAATCTATTTTATAATTATATATATAAATTATACTGTTTAGCCATTTAAATACATTAAAGAGCTTTTCTATAATTTGTTTCTTTAAGCTTATTGAAAAAGTAATGGTAGAATTATGGTTCTTTAATACCAATATTATGATTGATCATATGTTCAAAAGTGATCCCATATTCTTGAGATAATTCAGACTATATATATATAAGATGAGAAACATTATACATATTCAATAAAGAGATCCACTGTTTCTTGATGCTCTTTTAATTCCATATATGGATTAAATAGAAACAGTCTTAATTTTTCTTTGTAAGTATCCTTTGAGCAAATTTTTCTTAGATCATCAAAATAACTAGAGTAGATTAGGAATGGTTACCTGAAATCAAAAAATGCCTCCATTTGATGTTAAATTTTAAATACAATATAATGTCATAATGATTAATTAATTTACAAATCACGATTTTCTTAATTTTTACGTAATAATTCTTCATTAGGATCATAACTATAAAATGGACCCATAAACCAATCATTTTTAAGAAATTATTAACCAGGATCAATATTACCATATACTTCATCAAAGAATTCCTATCCTTTAGATATCATCCAAATACGTTTTAATCTTTCTTATTTCAATTCAGGTGGTTTATTGATTTTATATTCTGAATAAATGAATCCCTTAGCAGAAGAATTATTTCTAGCTCTCTAAATCATAGATTTGATTTCTTATTTGCTTTAGAATATATTAATTCCCTCATTTTCAGCAGCAATAACTTCTACTAATTATTATTCACTATTAGAAGAAATTGGATCTCTAATTATGTTTTAATGTTATTAAACATTTGCAATAATAACATTTGAATCTGATTTTGTATTACAATGTAAAGTTTATAATAAATTCTCTTATCCATGTTCAAGTCTAATCTTCAAAGTGTACATACTTTAATGTTTTAACTGTTTTATTGTATATTCATTTGGAAATGGTTAGAATATTTGATGAGTACTAATCTTACGTTATTATTGATATACAATAATGTATAAAATACATTTCTTTTTGTATTTATTAGAATTGATATCTATAGAAACAGTGATATTAGTGGGAGTATTTGATTTAAATGAAATTAAGTTATTATTTTACATATATTAATTAAGAGTAAATTATTATAATATTAATTTTAATAATTAATCAATAAAAAGAATCTGAACAACAAATAGCAGCTTTTGTTTTTTGAGGATCTAAATAATTCTTTGCTAATTCTTCATCTATTTCATCAACTCTTGACCAAAAATCTTTAGTTAATCTTAACCAACCATTTTAACGAGCATGCATATATATTCCAGATGTTAATTCTGAAAGAGAACATAAATGCCATCCTTATTTACAACTACTTAAACTTTAATGATAATTGCATCCATCACAACCTAAATAGAACAGTCTATTATTGACTTATCCAGGAAAATTTACTAATTTACTAATTTCCAATTCTTATATGTAAATATATAATAATTGTACATAAAAATGGTATGTTGTAGAAGGTTAGATCATCTAAATATAATAGAGGACCGTTGAACCAGGGATCTCCTCCTACATAGAAGGGTCCTTCATTCTTTAATGGTCTGGCTTTCAAAGACAATACATTGTCATGAATGCCGTTTATATATAAATCAATACTTAAACCTTATAAAACAATTGCTAAATGATTCCACTTTCGACCTGTTACACTACCCTTACTACGAAGATTCTCTTTATCATAAGATGTACTAACTATCACTTCAATCTGTCCTCCTCCAACATTAGCTTCATCATGAAATGGCCACAATAAAATTGTCGGAGTGTATTCAGTAGATTTTAAAGCTTTACGTAAAATCGTAGTAAATGACTATTATGAAGACAATGGATATATCCACATGGAAATTGTGACTATCTCATGATATTAATCATGATGTGGGATTATTGAATATTATTCTCCACTATAATAGGCAGAATTGCCAACAGCTCCTCTACCTGGACCAAGCTCACAAGGTTAAGAGATATGATTTAACAATTGACTATCATCCATCTAATTCTTGTCAAATCTCCATAAACCTATAATTGAATCTAAGGGTACAAAGGTCATATCAACTATCTGATTATTAACACATAAATGACCCTCTAATTTATAACAAACTTCTGGTTCTTCAGAATGAATTCCTGAAACAAGAATGAAAATTAAATTTAACATATTATAAAAATTTGAATTTTTATGAATAGATCTCAATCCCCCATTAATAATAGTCGTAATCATAGTGCATCTAAAAGATATGTCTCTCCAAATGAAAGATAAAACACTTAAGAGAATGAATAAGTAATTAAATTAAAATATTAAATCAGAATCATAAGAAATTACCACCTACTTAATAAGTCAAATCTAAAATAATTAATATTGATTAATAATCTGATATAAGTAGTGTATTGGGTGAAGTCAATATTAACAATACTAGTAAAATGTCAAATATGACTTAATTTGCTAATTTCATGTATGTTCCATGTCCAACTCATCCAGAATTTTTTATTACTAATCTATGTTAGGATTAAGTATGTTTGTTTATTATAATTTTCATATAGAATTGTATTGAACCTCTTTGTCCTGAATGTATTAATGAACATCTTTAAATGCATTAATAAAAAGGAAGAGTTCCTAAATTAGAAAATATCCAAAGAGTCAGAAAAGATAATACATATAAAATAGATGAGTTATCAAAATCATTGTAATTTAAATTATTAGATTCTAAGAAGTATTTCTAAGAATAACCATCTATTATTTATAATAATAATCTTGGGTAATTAAGATAAATTCATGAATAAATTTCAAATATCGTAGATGATTATTTTGAAACATTGTATAAAGATTTAAAAGATTAAAATTAAGATGAATATTTAAAATAACTAAATTAAATAGAGTAAGATATCATATAATAATAACATAAACTTACTAAATTATAAGAAGACTTGCACAATGATAATTATGTTAGAGCTGTAATATAAATATGTGATGCCAAATAGGAACTATTTTCTGATAAGAGTCTTATTTCTTTAAATAATTTAATTGAAAATTATCAGTAATCTTAATTTAAAATAATCTTTGATAAAAGTAATATTGAACTTTTTTAAACATATTGTAATAAAATATGCTATTTTGTTAAAAATACAAATACTTAGTTAAATAATAAAAGTCTTTAAATTGAAAATAAATCAAATCAATCTACTATCAAATTAACACACATTTCTGAAATACCACCTCCTCTAATTAATCCTATAACATTAATATCTGAAAGCCTTACAAATGATGAAGCTAAATACTAAATTAATCAATAAAATCATTTTGAAGATGATAAACCTCAAGTACTTGTAAGATTAGAAGAAGGTGGTTATGCTGCATATATTTATGATATTTAATCTTAACAATATAGAATTGAAACTATCAATAGTTAAACTAAAATTCCTTTATTTCATAGAGTATATACTACTACTACAGGAAAACATTTAGTTATTGGAGGAGTTGATAGAGATAAATCAAGGTTCAAAGCAATTGCTTCAGTTTATGAATTTAATCATACAACTTTATAATTAAGTTTACATTCAGAAATGGTTCTACCTAGATCAATGACTTCTGCTTGTTAGATTGATAATTTCATATTTGTTGTAGGTGGATCATCAACTAATGATGAAAATACATCAATAGCTAAAGCTGAGAAATTAGATTTAAATAGTAAAAGATGGTAAACAATTAATGATCCATACTTTAAATGTAGTGGATGTGCTTTGGTTGCAATTGATAAAAATACTTTATTTAAGATTGGAGGTAAATGTGATATCTTTACTCCATGTAATTCGATTGAATCATATGATATATTGAAGAATTCTTGGGTATTATTTGTTTTATAATTGATTTAAGACTAAAATAGAGTTCAAGTTTTCATCAAATGGATATTTGAGATTGCCATTTAATAGTTGTGCAATAAAGATTTCATATGATCAGATTCTAATTCTAGGGGGATCAGTACATGATGTTAAAAGTAATGAAACTTAGGTATTTAATTTAATATAATAATAAGATTCTTAATTTAAAGACAAAGACATTATAGAAATCAAAAGAATTAGAAAATTCAATTGAATTTAATACTTAAAGTGCTATTGTATAATTTAATAATATTTATATACTAACAGAGAATGAATAACCATTGTTAATTGGTAATTAAAATGGATTTAAATATTAATGATATAAAATTATGTATAATTTTGATTTACAACAAAATAATGAATAAGCACCTCAATCAAGAAGATTATTATAAACAAATAAGAAAGTTAAGAGTATATCAATTCAAAGAAATTTAAATTAAATCAGTTCAGATTTTAGATGTATAACTGATGAATCTCAATCTTATTTACAATAAATACCTATTTTAGGTGGAAGTGTGACTGAAAGATAAATACTATCATTACGATATGGTCCATCTGTTGTACAAAGATAGATGTACTAAGAAAATTAATTTGAATAAAGATAATAAAGAAGATTTGTAAGATAAAAGTTACCATCAATTATTCAAGGTTATTCAGTGCATGAGTTATCATAGAATAGAATGTCAGTTGAACCTAGAACGAGTCCACCTAAAGAAAATAAAAAAAGTATAACAGAAATAGAATGTTAAAATGATCATTTAAGTATTAAAAAATTAAATGATATATTGGGTCATAAGAAGATACGACCTGAAAAAGTTAGATAAGATTTTCCGTCTGTTCCTGAAATAAAAGATTTTTCTAAACAAATGCAATAAATTTATAAAAAGAATAATATTAATCCATTGAAATTGAGATCCCCTTTGCCTATGAAAACTTAAAATAAAAACACTTAGCATATTGATATTTTAATTAATTTACTAAAAAAAAGAAATTAATGATACATATTGATTTTAGATTAATATATATATATATATTCGATAAAGTAAAATATATGATATAATAAAAAAAGTAATGAATGCACCACATCCAGAGAAAATGATTGAGAAATTTGTATAATAAATATATTAAAATTAATTAGAATTAATAGATGGATGTATTGTTGAAACATGAAGAGTTATAGAAAAAGTAGAGAAAAATAAATGAATAAAAATTGAATCTCATTTTCGATCGCAATCTTTAAATAGAAACAAAAGATCGAAAATTGTAAGAATAAGTACACTTACTACTGTTAATCAGATCCTTTCGTCACGATATTAGAATGAGTAACTTAAGATCTAGAATGAGAAATTAAAACAATAATAAGAACTAGAAAAGTAGAAAAAGGATAAGAAAATAGCATAATATGAATTATGGTAAAATGAATAGAAACAACATGAAAAGGAGATCTAATAAAGAATATTTGAGATTTAAAACAAACTTAAATATGAGGAATTTAAAAAGAAAACTGATGATTTGATAAATTAATTAGATTATAATTTAAGGAAAGTCAATATATGTTATCTTGAAAAATAAGAATAGAAAGAGAGATATGTAAATGATTACATGAATTAAAAACAAAAGACTTTAAATTCATCTATTTAAATGAATGAATCTCATAATTATAATGTCTATTCTAACTATTAAATGTAAATGAAGAGAATCTAAGAAGTAATATTAGATATTTATTTAGATTTTTTAATAAAAATTGAATAATTATTAAAATAAGATTAATAAGATTTATAAATAAAAATATGAAAAAATGGATTAAATTTCTTAAAAAGTTTAATAATCACAAGAACATTTAGAATTAATTAAAGAAAGATCTAATTAGATATTTTAAAATAAAATTAAAAAATTAAAAGAAAAGATGGATTATTTTTAGGATAAAATAAATTTAATTGAAAAGAAGAGATTATCAGATTTATAACATAATTCTAATAAGGAATTTGAGCATATTTAATAAATAAATTAAATTAGAGCAAAATCTGAGAATATTATTAGAAATAAATCTCTGAATCTTTTGAATAAGTAAATGTTGAAAGAATAAACATTTAAATTGGTTCAACATCAAAATCAATTATAACTTGAATAAAAACTCTTAAGATTAAATTAAAAATAACTTACATAATAAACATAAATAATGAAAGCTGATTAATTTAAATAATCATATATTTAATAATTAGAATAAAAAATTACTTAAAGAGATATGAGATTATAAGATTAAATGTAATATTATATAAAAATTATTTAGATAAAATAAATTAGAAATCTAAAAGAGAAGATTAAAAGTTATTGAAGATATGGAGAAATAAAAAAGAGATATGTTATTAAAATTAGAATCTGAAAAAATAACAAATACATCTGATTTGAAGTATTTTCATAGCACACCTAGAATATAATCTAATTTATTTATAACCTGATTAAAATGAATTAAATATAAATTATATTAGATAATTAATTAATTATGTTAATATATATACTAAATATATTAATAATTATTAAAATGATTAGAATAAAAATGTTTAGATAATAACGATCACATAATTTAACAACAATTAGCTTCTTCTCTATCTTCTTATTATTTTTTAGAATTCTTTCTTTTATTATCTAATATTTCTGTTTCATTTTCACTACTTTAATTGTTATTAATTATTAAATTATTATTACTATTTAAATAAGGATTATATTATTAAATAGTTGAAGAATCATCAGTTTAAATATATTACTAATAATTTTTAATCTCACTTTTCTAAATTTAAGATTTCTATTATTATTATTATTGATTATTTTATTTTTTAGATTGTATGGTCAATTATAACTTTTCTATTTCTAACATCTCTTTTTAACATTCAATATCATTATATTAAATCTCTTATTCAATTTAATATAATTGATTCTATTTCTTTTAAGAATCCAATTTTTTTTCATTTAATCTTTCATTCAATAATTACATTTCTTTTTTTATGGATTGAATAATAGATTTCAATTTAAGATTCTCATCTTAATAACTTTTAATTTCATTATCTAATTTCTATGTTTTAAAGATAAGTTCATTTTATATTTATTTATATTCTCCTTATTATTTAACACCTTATTATTAGATTTCAGAAACTTAATTCTACAAAGATCTAATATCCTATAATAATTCTTTTGATTATAAATCTAATTCTAATGCTTATTAAGCCAATTAATCTCTTTTCTATTTGTATGCTGTTTCTACAGTAAGTCTAATATATTTGTCTTCACAAATTTCACATAATCTTTTTAATAATGAATTATTATTAGGATCTTTTCTTTTCTTTTTTCCATGTTCTTTACATACAACATTACCACAGAACTTACATTGTTTCAATTTATGAATAAGTGATGAACTTTTATGACATATACAACATTCATTTTTACCTTATTTTAATTCTTTTAATTTTTCATCACTTAAAGTACATTTAAAGATTGCTAATAATATAATATTCTTATTAATTACAATCATTTTGATTGACTAGATCCAAGTCATTTGTTTTTCTTAGAAATTAATTTTTTTCTGTATCCTTTTCCATTTAATCAATAGAAAAATTAGATTGAGGTTCATCTTCTTGAATAGATTCCAATTATGTTGACATATTACTAGATTGAGCTATGTTCTTATATTTCTTGAGGATTTCTTCATATGAATTATTATCGACTTGAGTATTAGCTCTATCTCGACTATCTCTCATATAATATGAAAAGTATTTTTATATAATAATTCATATCATTTTCTACAAAAGTTGAGTAATTTATGAAATATTATTATCTGGCTTTTGTATAGATTGAAATAATTAATATAGATTATTATTATAGAATTTGATAACAGCCAAGTATTATTGTAATTGTTTTAAGTTCTGTATTTTGTAATCATTTTATCTGATCACATCATCTTATTGATAACTTGAATAATAATGGTCACTTCTGGTTTATAATATAGGTTTCTTTTGTGTTTGCAATATCTAAATTCCATTTAAGAATTACCTTCGAGAAGATTATGAATTCTTATTTTGTATTTTTTAATTACAATAATCTTTATTATCTATTCTAAATTTCTAAATGTAATTCATCATTTTTAGTTATCATATCACAAAATTCTCTCAATTTAAAATTGTTTTTATTTAGATTTTCAATACCTAAATCAAATAATTATGTAACAAGTTCTTATGTATGAGAGTCTAATCGATCCTCTATTTTTCCTGTCTTTAATCTAACAAATTTAATTTTAGTTTCATTAGTTTCATTTATAAGGCTATTACTAATTTATAATTGTTTTTTATATGAATCCTATATATATGAACTATCTATATTTGATAACATTCCTGCAGAAGTTGGAATATTTTAAATAAAAGTAAATCTAATTTATAATTATAATTATTACTATTATTATTATTGTTATTTCTTCTCAACTTATTGTTTCTTTTATGCAATTTTCTATTTGTATTTTATTTCCATTAATTTCTCATTACAATCTTTAATACATATCATTTATTCTTATATCAATCGATCCAAATTCTTAGAATGTTATACCAATTATTATGCTCTATCATTACAATCCTAATTTTATTAACATAATTTCCAAACTATATTAATTCTCTTCATTTCTTATTAAATTATTTAAAAATTCTCTTATTATTTTTTTAATTCTTCTGATAATTTCTTAGTAATTTCAAGAGCTTTCTAAGTTTCACTACTCAATTCATCTGGATATAAACTCTATCGAATTGTATTATATTCTTTTAATCGATTCTTCAAAACCTAACTAAAATATTAGTGATACCAATTATACTTTTAGTAAACAATTTAATCTAATTTCTTTTGATATTACATCTTCTATATACTAGGCAATGTACATTTCTTTATACTTCTATCAGTAGATTTAGTATGTTCAGAGTCTGCTCTTGTTTTAGGGATATTAGTAATCCTAGATATCTCTAATGGACTATATCTTCTTAATCTAATACTTGAATTAATAGATGGTAATTTTGATGCTAAAATAATTATATAATATCATTACAATTATGCTCTTTCATTTATTTTGTCTATTAAGCAATTTATGCTAATTTTATTGCTTTCTAATTGAGTGATAATTCATCTTGTAAAGGAATGTTATTTATATTATACTACTACATTAATTTTGAGTAATTATTTTTTTGAGTCAATGAAAGCCAAGGAAATTATACCCAAACCCATCTTTTATAATAATAAAATTGTTAATTTCTTGTATTCCTTATTATTTTATCTAATAATTATTCTTATTTAGTATTGATATATTCTTACACTAAACCTTAATCAAATTGATTCAAATAATAATTAATAAAATAATCTCGATTAGCTTTCATATCCATATTTAAAGTATCAATATTTGTAATTTAAGAAGGAAAGTATTCTTCATTCATAATCTTTTTCTTTTTCTTAGCCATCATCTTTAACTCTTTAAGTTCATTATACATTCCAATCTCATCAAAATCAATAGGTTAACCCTTTAATTATGGATGCTTATAAGGTGGTGTATGATCGCTAAATTCATATATTCATATTAATTACTTTTCAAAAATACTATATTCTCTTAAAAATCTACTGATTTATAAGATTATATAAAATAAACCTTCATTAGTAGGTTTATAGAAAGCCTAGAAATTATCTACTGCCTTATTATATTCTATCACTAAATCATAGCCATTCTATTCAAGTGTCTACCATAAATGACACAATTCAAATTTATGATATGGAGTACAATATAATAAAAAACTTTCAATATTTATCAAAATTTCTTTTAATTTGAAATATCTCTTGCCTCTGGAATATTAATATATCAATTCTTCCAATTTCCTTATAGAATTTTATGAATGTTCCATTACCATTAAGAAAGATTAAAATAAAGTCTTATTATGAGGAAAATATGTACTCAAGACATTTTTAAATGTCAAATAAAATATACAATATATCTATTGTTTTTCCATTAAAAAGATCTAAATAATTAATATATATGATTGAGTACTTTGAAAAATTCATAAACAATTAGGAATTATTATTTATCACAATTACAAATATTTGTTATTTCTTCAATTGAAATACCTTTAAATACATATGTCAAAACATTTAATATTTATGAGTAGTGTATTTCTGAATAATATTTTAGAAAAGTAGATATCAATAAATTATAAAAGTCACTTTCTTATTTAACATCTATGTCTATATAAAACATATTTACTTTCAAGATGTTAAAATACTTCTTTATTAATACTTTGAAATTCATCTGTCTAATTTGTAAATATTGCTTGAAAACTCATACTAAAAAGAGTTTATTCTTATAATTTGCGAGGTAATTTCCTATATATTCGCTAATAATAAAATTATAATGTATTAATACATATAGAGAATCAAATTAAATTAAATTTTCTAAGTATTCTTTCTTACTCCAATCACTTGAATAAAGTCCAAATTTACATGTTCAATATTGATCCTCCTTAATTTTTATAATATTCAAATGCTTTTGAATCATTTCGACCAGTTACTATAACTTTGATGTTTTCTGGTAGTACTTTAGGTAACCAATATGATACTCTCACTTCTCCATTTGAATCTCTGAATCGATCAATACCTTAAAAGATTAAAATTAGCTAATGAATTTAATAATGATTTTATACTCTCTTATAAACACATTTGGCTTCACAAAAGACTTAATTTTACAATTCTCTATTATAGAATTCTAACCAATATTAAAAAAACTATTTTAATTTCTCACCTTCTATTTCTACTCTTTGTGAGATATTAAATTATGCCTAAATTAAATTAACAATCATTTTTACTTTTAATCTTGATAAAACATAATATATTCCATAATGATAATTCTAATTTTCATGTTCAACAAAATAGGGTATAACTAAATCTTTCTAAATCATGCATTTTCTATGTTTACATTCAATTTATTAATCCAATGACATATTAAAAATTAAATATCATTTCCATCTTCTTCACTTATAAATAATGCTCTGTTCGATTTTTATTTGTACATCCATTCTTCTATTTAAAAACTGAATTCTTCTAAATTATCAGGTACTTTGTGTTTCAAACAGTTTTCAACTATCAAATCACTCTTGCTTTCAAACATAATAAATTAATTATTAAAATCAATCATATTCTTTTTGAGTAATACAAATATAGAAACTAATTCATATATGTATTCACTTAAAATAACAAAATATACTATAACTCATACTATTAAAACCATAATATCATTCATTCATTATTTATAATACTGAATGATTATTTCCTCAATTGTTATTTAATTAATCTTTAGTATCAAATGATAGTATCTTATTTTGTTATAAAATAATAAACTAATATGTATTAATAAATGATGATCAATAACAGAATTAAGAATATGAATTATATTATAAATACTATAAAAAATAACAAATTAAACAATTTTAAATTAATTCATTATTATTTTATGTATATAATTGAAATGAATTAATATATCATTCTATTTCAATGAATATATGAGTCACTACTATAATAACTTATATTTTAAACTTCTTTAAGTTAATCATTTAATCTATTATTCTCTTCCATCAAAGAAAGATTGCTTTTAGATAATCTATCAATTTATTATTATTATTATTTAACTAAATAATCAATTATTAATACCTATTTCTAATAATTTAGTATTTTACATCTTAAGTTATTCTTATTCAAATTAAATTAACTGAAATTCTGAAATTGTCATTTTTAACTAAGATGTTTATATTTAATTTTCAAAAACTTATACATCTTTTTCTAATTTTTAATTGTATTCCTTTAATTACTAATTTTCAATCTTTAATACATCAATCAATTCATTTTAACCTTATCCTACTTTTCCATTATAATTATTATTATTTAATTATTATTATTAATTCTATTTAAGTAAACGAATATATTCTTCTTATTATAATATTTATTCATTTAATTTCTAATTCTATCCTTTAAATGCTTATAATTCTTATTGTAAAGCATTCACTTTTTATAATTCTGTAGATATTTTTTAATTTTACAATTCTATATGTTACTTTGATTCTATATTATCCATCATATTTTTTGTTTAATATTCATTTTGATATTAATATTTTTAACCATTTAATAAAGTTCTTTAATTATCTTATTAAATTTTTTCAATATAATCCTATGAATTATTAAATAAAGCATGAAAACTTTTAGTTATTAAATAAGAGTCAGAACTTTTATCAAAAGACATCAATTTTTCAAATTCAATTAATTAATTATTTTAATTGAATATAGTCTTATCTTTAACATGTAAAGTATTTTCTAAATTGTTCATTTTTAGTTATAATTCTTAAGTTTCATTCTCTTTATTTTTAATTAATTATGATAAATCAGAAATCTTTTTCTTTAAATTGTAATTCTTTTCTTATTCATTATCTAATTCTTTACTTAAACACTAATTTTATTGTATTTACTATTTAAGTTAAAAATCTTTTTCTGAAATACATGATGTTAGATCTTGAGATTCTTATAATAATTATTTACATTTTATTTCAATTTCATTATATTTTTATTACAATTATAAAATAGTTACGTTCATAATTTATTTTATTGAATCTTACTTTTCATCAATTAAATTATTAGAATCAAATTAATGTACTTGAATTTATAATTCATTAATCTCATAATTTTATTGCTCCCTTATTTCTTAAACCTTCAATTATAAAGATTAATTTTCTTTTCTTAAATTTTCAATTTCTATTTAATTTTATTATTAAACCTTTAAAATCTTTTAATAATCTTCAATCTTAGATTATAATTTTAATTATGAATCATTAAGTTCTTTGTATAATTTTTATATAGTACCTTAAAATTTTGAATTTTCACTTAAAAGATCATTAATTACTGTTTTTTATTGTTTATTTTCCTAATCTAAATTTGAATGTTATTATTTTAAATTGACTATTTATTATTCTGTATCTTCTTTATTTATAAATCTAGATGAAGTATTCAATTTTAATTCTTAAAGTTCAAAATATAAAGTATTTATTTGTAAAGCCTATGCTTTATTTTATTAAATCAATTATTCAATTTAATTAGTCTTCTTCTAAAGTTCTTCTTCTAATTGAGTAATTTTATTATAACTTCCATTTTAATAAGGAGTTGTTCCATATGAAATTTGATTAATTTATTAATCTTTTTCTTTTAATTAATCTATTAATTTAGAGATTTGTGTTTCTAATCTTGTCTTAATTGAATTATGAACTTCACTTATATTTTAATTTTCTTATCCTAATTTATTAATTATTAATTATAGATCTTCATTACTTTTTTAATAATTTGTTGATACCATTTTTAATTAATGAGATTTTTCAGCCAATTAAATTCTTAATTAATTAATTAGTTATTATTACTCATCTGTATCTTGATTTAATTTTTTAGAATAACTTTAATTAATTTAATCAATAAAAGATTTATCTTAAATAGTAGATTTATAATTTGTTATATCTTATATTAATTTACTATTTTCTTATTATAGATTAAGTATTTATAATTTTAAACTTTTAACTAATGAATCTTCATAAGTCACTTAAATAATATCTGAACCAGATTTAATATTAGTATTTAATTTATCTATTTCTATTGTCAATTTTTCATTATCAATAATTTTATTCTATAATTCCTATTAAAGTAATAAAATTTAATCATTAAATTATCCTCTAACTTTTTCAAGTTATATTTTTAATTCTTAGTTTTCTTATTGAATTGATTAATCTTTATTAATTTATTTTTTTAATTGTTAATTTTCAAGATGAAGTAATTCTTTTTGATTCTCTAAAATTTTATATTCTTTACCTTCATATACTTTAGATTCAAAAATGCTTTCATTCATTGAGATATGACTTTAGCTTAAATCTTTAAAGATATTTTATTGATTTTATAATTTGATTATTTATTCACTTAAATTCTAATTTTATAGTTATAACTATACTAATTACTATTTCAATTGAGTTTCAGCATTTTATGGAAATAATCTTAGAGTTCTATTCTCTTCTTATAATTACATAAGCTTTTATTTTAATTCAAATATTTAATTATCTTATTATTTGATCTTTGAAGTGAGGTATTCTTATTCTTTAATGAATTTAGTTATATCTTAATCAATTTATTTATTATCTTTTTATAAATCAACTTATAATAATTTAACTTCTACTTTTTAATTTTAATATTTTAATAATTCTAATTCTAATTATTTATTTTTATCTTATTATTATGTATCTCTTTATAATTAGAAATCTAATCTTTATTAAACTTCTTAAAATCTTTTCTTTTAAATATTTAATTACTCTTCCAATTCTTTATATTAATCACTTTATATGATATTTGTCATATTAATAGAGAATGATTTTGATTAATTAAGATCTGCTAAATTTTTAATTTATTCTTATAAATACTGATTTTCTTCAGCTAATCTTTTATTTTATTTTTCTAATTATTCAAATTATTTTTTAGATATACATGCATCTTATAAATCAGAATTAGCTTTTTCAAGTTTCTTTTTGAATTGTTATATTTCTAGATTATGCATAGATTACATTTATTCAATTTGTTTTTCTAATTAATTATATATTATATTTTCATGAACATTTGAATCTTTAATAGAATAATTCATAATTTATGAAGTATCTAATCTTTCTCTAATTGATCTAATTTCTTCATATAATTTAATATTTTCATTTAAATATCTTTTATTTGCTTCACATAATTATTATATTTATAAATCTTTATCAATTTATTATTTTTAAGGTTTTTGTATTTTCTTTTTTTATAATTCATCTTCTAGTATTTCAATTTTTTTCAGAAGATATACATTTTCTTATTCAATTTAATCAACTTTAGTTTTAACAATAGGATCTTAAATTAATGATTAATTCATTGATATATGACTCATATTCTTTAACATTTCAATTTCAATTTATAATTCATTAATTTTTTTAGTTTAATTTGTTATTTCTTAAATCAATTTTTGATTTGTTTAAATAAGTTTTTCTCTTTCAAATTCAATATTTAAATTTGATTTATATTATTAATTTTATTTTTAAACTTTATTTAATTCATCTTATAATTTTAATTTCCCTTAATTAGATTCAGTTAACAATTCTTAATATTATTTAATCTATTAATTATCATAAATTTATGATTATGATAATGAATTTTCAAATTTCTCATTCTTTTCATTTAATACAATAGTCAATCTTGCATTTTAATTCATTAAATCAGTTTCTCTCTATTTCAAAATGAATAATTCATTCTTTAATGATTGTATTAATCTATCCAAATTTTCTATTTAATCTTTAGAAGATGTCTATTATTTACTATTTAATTCTACATTATTAATTACAAATTACCTAATTCTTTATTTTCTCTATTTAATTTCTCTATCTATTATTATTATTTCTATTTTTCATTCTATAATTAAGTAATTTCCAATCTTAACTAATTAATTTAAATAGATATTCTAGATTCTGAATTAGATAATTATTAAATCTCTAGTTTTTTAGGACCCAATTAAGTCTTTTCATTAATTAACTATTATAATTAAGAATTCAATAATTATTAAAAGTTAATTTACTTTTGATTGACTTTTCCAATATTATATGCAATAAATTTTATATGTACTCTTTTTAAGGCTTACATAGATACAAAAAATGCACAAAAAGAATCTATATAAATATTATAATATACATATATATACCTTTATCTTCTTTTGTTTTGAATTTCAAAGTCTGATTCATAAAATGTGCTTAAAGTTGGTTCTAACTAGGAAGTAACTATTAATCTGAATATGTGATTTTTTATTGTAATGTACTATTTTCTAAACAATCAAGAGAGAATATCCAACTTTAATCGTTGGCTATGATTTATTATCTATGTTTATCCTTTAGGTTACTTCATGTTATTATGATATAATTGGGATAGCTTAATTTCCAATTGTGAGGAAATTTGAATTTTTTGAAATTCAACAATTGCTTACCCTTCTTATCCAGATTCAAATGATTGTACATTAGCTTCTATCCTATAACCAATATCAAATATGCTGCATTGATAAATATTGCCCTAACTTTCAATTCTAATACGTTCTGTATCAGATATTTTAAACCATTGAAATTTACATCCAATAGGTATTTTGTTGTTTTTAGATGTAAATGCATTAATGGTGATATTGGAACTTTCATTTAATTGAGAAGCAAGAATATCAAGATGATAGTTAAAATTTCCTTTAATCTAATAATTCATATAAAATAATGTTAATACATAATGATTCCAATTTTTTCATTAAACCTAATGCCATAGTTAAATTGTATAAATAACTTAAACCAAAGACAGTTGAAACTGATAGAAAAAGAACTAATTATATTTTAAATAAGAAAACATAATAAATGAACATTTTGCATTTCTCAAAACCTATGCTATTATTATCAATTCCTGAAGAACAAAAATCAATAAGAAATCACAATCAAACTTGTAGAAGTAGTACAGGATGTACAAGAACTCCAAATAGAAGAAGAAATTTGATGACTTCACCTAAAGAATCCCGTCTTGGTTATAAAATATTACATTACTAAGAATAAGAAGTTCCATATGAAATACATAGTCAAATGCCAATATCATAAATCAATCCTAAATTTATTATATAATAAAAATAAGGTTGTGCTATTAATCGATTACCCAATTTCAAACTATAATTATTCAATCAATTACCAGGATTAAGATAACAATTAGAATTATGTTGATTTTCGTATATAAATGAGACTCATTTTAATATATCATTATAATCATTCGATATCAATTAATAAATCATCCTCATCATATTATATTTAATCAACTATTTTCTAATTTTTATTATCTTAAGAACTATTAATTATATATATATATATACAATTAATACCTTTTAAGCCTTCTCATTAATAACAGAAGATTTCTAATTTTCAATATCCTTCACTGATTTTTAATCTAAACCTTTTGAATTTATTAAAGAGCAGAATCAACTGATTTTATATGCATTTTTTATGCTTTGTATAAAATCCTAGACATAATTATATCCTCTTTATTCAGGATGCAAAAAATCAAGAAATAAAGGTGAATTTGGAGGTATGAATCTGTTCTTTTGATAGCAACTACTTATTAGAAATATTTTTTAGTTGGATTGGTAATATATTTCATTTTTAATAATTATTCTATCTTTCATGATTCATTTTGAATAGACTCTAAACAACTAATTTAGGAGAAGTTTTCTATCTAATCAAAAATCTTGCAATATCAATTGATCCAAAAGAAATTAATGATTTCCTAGACTTTTCACAATCAATTGCTACTACCAATTAAAATTTAATGACCAGATATTTATCTACTATTTTATTCATTTAAATCAACTTTTCAATTTATTTCTCATTATATTCTGTCAATCCAAATCCTTCTGTAAATATAAATATCTTTTATTAATCTTTTTTGTATTTACATTTTCATCTAAGTGCTTATTGCTTTATCCAATGTTACTTTTATTAAAGGAATATTATAATTTGGTAATTCTGTCAAAGTTTTATAAAATTCTATATCTTGAGATGATAAGGGCTAAATATAAAAAGGTTTTCCTATCTTCATCTTCATGATTTTTATAATTAAAGATTGTTTATTAAATCATCAATCCTATACAATCAACAATTATAGAAAGAATATATAATTACCAATAATAGCTTTTATTCTTAAATCTATTTGTATGGTTCATACATGCACCTACATCTAATTATACTAATGTTGCTTCTTTTTCTGGCATCTAAGAATGATATCAGATTATTTTTTGTATTAAATAATTGAGTATAAATTAATTAATCTATTCATCACATATACTCTTTTATTATTTATATAATGTAATTTTTAAAGTCCTATCTTACAGATTATATCAATACTTATGTTTATGAGTATTTTGATAACATTTCCAAGGAATAGATTACTACTTAATTGACTAAAGGATAAATTCAATTAAATAATATGTAATTCAAACCATCAATCTTTAAAAAATTGAATTTGCCATTTATTATTAAAGAAAGCATGATCAATAATATAAGTATTACCTTAGGTAAACAATCTTCTATTAAAATTGATACACTTAATATTGTAATAGAAATACTCAATTTATATGGAAATTTTATTATGGAAAGTGCTATTAAATTATAAATTCTTGAAAAATTTAGAAATTCCTTAATTGAAAATCTGCTAAAAGGAATGGCAGCATAAGATAAATAACAATAAGACCCAAAAAAAAAGTTTGCTTTTAATTTATTCCAAAATATTGAAATTGAATTAAATAGTTTAAATATCACATTCCTTGATAAATATTGTACTCAAAATTCTTTTGGTTTCAAATTAGAACATTTTACTTGTAAATCCTCAATGAATCCCAATAAACCTAAATTAAGGAATATTGAAATCAAAAACCTATTATTATTTTGGCAAGATCCTATTACATAATTAAATGCCTATGCTACTCTTGAAGATGTAGCTGAATAAGAATCAGATAATCTATCCTTTTAATTAGGAATAATATTTGATCAATTAACTTTTAATTGCTCTAAAATATAGTGTAATGCAATTTATAAATTTTCTGAATATGTATCCTAATTTACAATTAGATAAAATAAATAAGTAGAAAAGAGTTCAAATAATGAAGATGATCAGAAAGTTAAAGGGGAAATAAAGAATATTTTGAAAAGTATATCTCTATTAGAATAATCAACTGAATGTTAAGATTATGAGAGATTGTGTTTATTGGTGTAAAGTTAATCTATAAATGATCTTAAATAAATATAATTTGAAATTATGAAATATGATAAAGGAGAAGAAATAGTATAATTAAGAAAAAAGAAATTAGGATGGTTTGGAGGAATGGTTAAAAATGATAAAAAAATGGGTGAAAAAATTATTAATATTCTTGATGATTTAGATTAAGATCCAAATTTTAATTTAAAAACTCTTTAACTAAAATTTGAATTAGTTGTTAATTAATGTTAAATAGGATTATCTTCTAATTATAGAGGTTAATTAAATAAATTGATTATCAATTTCAAAAATGTTAATTTATAAATGAACAAAACTAATTAATTATAATTAGATTTTACAATTAAAGAAGGAGAAGTTCTATTATAATATTAAGATAAAAATAATTATTTAGTATCTAAAAATAAAACTTTTGAAGAAAAATATAGTTTAGAATTACATTATACTAATGATGAAAAAAAAGAAAGTCTTTTTATATAAACATGTCCATTCTAAATAGTTTTTAATGAATAAGCTTTTGAAAAATATTATGATTTATTTTATTTTTTTGTTGTTTCAGAAAATTAATTACCCAAATTAACTAAAAAAGCTAAATAATAAATATAAGACATAGTTAGTGATAAAAAAGAAAAGGATATTTAAATTAAATTAGAAAAAGTATATATATTATCTACAAATGGTAAGGAAACCTTTCTTTTTAGTCCAGGTTCAATTGATTTTAATTATAAGACTCAAAATTAATCTATTTACAATATCAAAATATTTGATACAACATTAGGGTTTTCTGAAAAAATAAATTCATGTATTGATTTTATACATCAATAATATTGTTTTAATAGTATGATTATGTCTAGAGATTTTATTAAAATAACAAATTGTGATATTGATCTAGTAATTTAAGTTTAAGATAATCAAATTAATACTGTTTTAGAATTAGGAGATATGAATTTTTAAATAAATCCTACTATATATAAATATTTTTATTAATTTTATGGAACACATTATCAATAACCATTAAAAGAAATGAAAAATTAACTTAGAAATAATGAAGAAAATTAATAAAAATTTTGTTTATTTAGTAATACATATATTAAAAATTAAATAAAATGTAGAATGACATTTTAGGGCAATTTTATAAATTTATATGAAGTTGAAAAAGATGATAAAATCATGAAAATAGATTTATAAAATATATAATTTAAATAATTCAAAGACAATCAACATTATATTCTTGAATTAAAAACAAATGATTAAATTATAAAATTGGCTTATTCAAATGAAGAAGATATATAATTAGTTGTGAATAAATGTTAAATGTCACGTAATGATGATTATTATGTATAAAATATTTTAGAATAGAATTTAAATAATTCTATAACTAATATATAGAATTAAATACAATAATAAGAATTCTTATCATATATACAAATTAAATTAAATAGTATACATGTTGTTGTATTAGGAAATTAAAATTAACCATTTATAAATATTCATCTTACTTATTTAAATTTTACTAGTTTGGGTAATTAATTACAAAGTAAATTAACAATCTCATTTAAGTATTTTACAATTATTAAAGAATTTAATTAATAAATGAATAATTTTGAAGATAAAATTTTTTTGGATATTCAAAGTGATGAAAATACAACTCTTATTGAGTATTGTTAAACATTAAATGAAAATTCAATACTGAAACTTTATTTAAATTATTGTATTCTAAATTATAAAGCTAAAACAATAGGGCTAATTCTAGAATAATATCCAATTGAATTAAAAAAAGATTGGAATCTTACTAAATTCATTATTAATTCATATTTAACTTATTATCCTGATCTTTAAATTATTTGTAATTAAATGAGTGTAGAAATTAGAAAAAAATAAATTTTATTTAAATAAAGTGAACTTAAATCTATTTAATTTCAATAGAATTATATTTCTATTATGTTTATGTAAGATGACTAAGATGAAAACTGTTTATAAGTAAATGCAATTCCAAAAGGAATTCTTATTGTTGATAATGAAAATGAGATGACAATAAATATTAGATTAGATGAAGCCTAAGCAATATTTGCTTAATAATATACATTATAAACAAGTAAATTGAAAAGAAAAAATAATAAAAAAGTACTATTATCTTCTTGTAATATTGATTTTGGATGGAGAGTACTCTTTTAAACAAATGTTATAAAACATTTTATGAATTTTAGAACAAATTAATTTAAATTTACATTTGGTACTAAAGATATATGTTATTTAACTAAATAGATGTAAAAATTATCTACTCAAATCAGTGAATTTTATGCTTCTCATGATTTAGCAAATTATCTCATTTAATATAGAGTTAAAACATATTAATTAACATTTGGAGTAGAATCCTAAATGTAAACTGTATTTATTGATGATTATTTTAATTAATCATTACCAATATTTGGTCTAACTTTCAATCAACCCATTTGGAAATTAGAATTAAATTTAGATCATATTAATTTTCATACTAGAAATCTATTTGAGGCAGTTAATTATCATTCTACTAAATTAGCATGGGAACCTATTTTTGAACCTATTTCATTAGATTTCAGTTTATATATTTAGAATTAATAACCAAGAATCATTTTAGACTTTAATATATCAGATATTGTTAATATTGATATATCAACAGAATTCATTTAAAATCTATTAAAATTTAAGAAATTGGTCAAATAATTTGAAAATACAGACCTTAAATAAAATAATGAACCAATTAATTAAAATAATAATTAAATACTTACATATGAAACCTATGAAATATAAAATGCTTGTGGTTTATTGATTATAGCATATGGACAAGATTAAGAACCTATATAATTAATTAATTAATAAAGATCAATTACAAAATGTAAAGGAATATTTTAATTTGAAATAATTGGAGTATATTCTTCAATAAAAATTGAAAATTGGTCTTTACAAGTATAAAAATAGA